AACAAGCTATGGGTAAACAGCAGGACAGATCGGGTTCTAGAGCCTTGCATGGCAACTGGTCTATGCGGGAAAAAATCTGTCTCATCATTTATGTATCAAAAGATACATGATCGCCTAAGCGTGTATCACGCATGACACATAACTGACTGATTATTACTTTTAATATATTTTTATTTAGATTCCCGATAATTTTTCCTTTTAAACACAAACTGCAAGAAGGCAAAATTCATGGTTGTTAGCAAAATATATTATGAAATGGAATAAGCCCGACAATTATTTTAATATAATTATTGTTTACACGTTATTTTTATAGATACAAATATTTAATGAAATGCTCTGTTTATAAAAAACAGTATTAACAACATTTACCGGCTTGAACACATTTCTCAGACCAGTAAATGTTGTTAAAACTGTTTATTATAAACAGAGCACTTACTTAAATATTTGTATCTGTAAAAATAACATATAAACAATAAATATAATAAAATAGTTCACCATGTATATTTACACGCGCAATTGACATCACTTTAACATTGTGACTTACGTAATCATTATAGACAAATCAAAAATGCCATTATGTTGTGTTAAAATCATTTAAAAAAACAAAAAAAAAAACAACAAAAAAACAGGAAAAACGAACGAAAGGAATAATATCTATTGTTTTGCGATGTCTTTGAGCCTGTCCAAAGCAAGGTCGAAAGGGCTAAATCCCAACTGTTTGTTCAATATTCCATATTCATTAAAAGTACCTCTTGCACCCCACCCTCCAAAATAGAAAAAGAATATTAATAACTTTTTTTTATTTTGTCTTTGCCAAATATTTATTAATTAATGAAGGCTTGCTAAAGGTGTTTTATACGCACACACACAAACACACACACACACATAAGCGCACACACCCTCTCACACACGCACACAAACACGCACGAGCGCCTTCGGGTATATACAGACACATTCATTCTCGGAAAAAAAAAACAAAAAACTGAGTTCTTTTGAGTCATTTCGTCATTCACACACACACACACACACACACACACACACACAAATATATATATATATATATATATATATATATATATATATATATATATATACAAGTATATAATTGGTGTATAAATCTTTATTTTACATTAAACATCATCCTTGATAAGACACCGGAGATGTTGAAACAAAATGGCTATTTTTGTAGTGATTTTATAACATATTTATGTTATAATTTTTTTAAATAAATAATTATCTGCTCTATTCTGTATTGAGTCATCTTTTAAGAATAGTAATTGTTGGTTATTGGAATTCATTCCGTATTCGATTTTATAACATATTTATGTTATAATTTTTTTAAAAATATATATATATATATATATATATATATATATATATATATATATATATATATATATGAGTGCTCCTTTGTATGAATGAGATCCTTTATTTCTTTCTTGGTGACCGACTAATAATTTTTTTGAGTATTGGCATAACATGTTTGATATCATCGCTAAAATAGAAAATCTCTAAAGATATAATCGTTCGTTGTGTAATCAGTATAATTCTTATAAAAATATTCGTTTTTTTTTTTCTTTTCTTTTCTTTTCTTTTCTTTTCTGACATACACGCGCCCGTACGAAAAAAAAACAAACATGCAGAAATAGTGGAATAGTTAAAATGTGTAAATTGGACGAAAGAAACCGGGCCGGAAACAAGACAGACAGAAGTGTCAGGCAATTCTGATCCTAAACTTGACCTAAAGTATTACACTTTCTCTCTCTTTTCCCTCTACCCCCTCTCTCTCTCTCTCTTTCTCTCTCTCTCTCTCTCTCTCTCTCTCTCTCTCTCCTTACGTACACAGCTACACGCGGATGCACTGACAATACTTTTGAACACTTACAGTCACCCAGGGTGAGCCAAAGTTGCAATTCTTTTTCGGTGAGAGCGAATCACGCTGAGAAATACGTGGGCGTTATACTTACGGCTACAGTGCCTGAATGGTCGTATATATTTGTTAATTTTTACTTTTTTTTCAGTTTAGTTTTACTAAGAACTTTCTATTTATTTATTTTTACTAATTTTCATTATTTTCTTACTTCTCCATTTTCTAATTCATGTGCACCTCTAGTCAGATACTAAGGTTACCAGTGCAGCAAAAAGCCTTCTTCTTCTTCTTCTTATTATTATTATTATTATTATTATTATTATTATTATTATATGCCCGTGATTGATTCAAAAATCGTATGACTCATACAGCAATCGCTATCACTTGACTTAAAATATTTTTGCCCTTCCTTGCCTTTAAAGGAGTGCCCTTTGCCGTGCTGATGTTGCTACATGCCTTACTTCTTGCCTATCTCACACTGCGAATTTTTTCTAAGCTCTCTAATAAACATTAAATCTGTTACGAAAAAAGAACTAAACAAAATAAACACAAAACGATCAGCTTTAAAAAATGACTCGTAACAGAAAAAAACCGAATGAAAAAAGAATGTTAACAACAAATACTTTTTCACACCCAACCCAGTTCTGCGGAATCAGAATCAACGTTGAGTTTAAGCAAGCGAATGAGCCAATTGAAGTAAAGTGCCATGCAGATGTAAATTTTTGCCACTTGTGACGAATGCAGCTATCGATTTTTTTTGCATGCTAGTTAAAATTCGTGTCAGTCAGCTGTTGGCTCTCACGCTGGCCAATAGAATCTTCCTGCCTATTCGTTGCAGCCAGCTATTGGCTCTCACTCTGGCTAGTAGAAAATGGCCGCAAACTACATGAAAACTGCCGTAGAAGCATGAAAAAATCGATTATTTCCACTATCGATGGGAGTTGAGAAATGCAAAGTCGGTCTTGGCCTTCCCACTAACTTGAAGCATGTGCATGTAAATTTTGGTGCAAATCCGTCGAAAATTGCGGCCGTGCATTCGTTACACACACACACACACACACACACACACACACATGCTGCCTTTTATAGATAGATGTTATCAACAATACATTTTATTGCAAAATGACCAACAATATATTTTGTCTGTAATTGAAGGCATACTATTGCGTTCAAAATATATTTAGTTGAATTCATAAAATTGGGTTCAAAACGTTTAGAAATCGGCATTAAATGACTCACAGAGGTGTTGATATGCAGTTTAACAAAATCAACCAACTAAACGTCTCTTTCACGGCATTAATCCATATAATATCCCACAATTCCTTGAAAGATTCACAACTGTATTTTAAAATATAACTTCAACAAAATTAGAAAATGAATCCAATATATCACTGCCTGTAGTAATCATGCCGAAACAAACAGGTACATGCACAAAAGCTGAGTATCATCTACCATGTATTCAATTGTGAAAGCAGAATAACATATATTTTTATTAATTAAAAGCTACCAAATCAATCAAATCATTTTACAAGTTAGATAAATCGTTTCTTAATGACAATGGTAAAACAAGTTGATTTAAAACTAGTGCAACGTCTCGAGGCAACTTAGCCCGATGAAGGCAATTTTGAATTCAGAGTTTTCTTTCTCTTAGGCGGGATACCAGCCAAGACAAGATAGACCAGTTTGGACATTGCAACCATATCTGGAATAAGACGGGTATGGTTTGGTTTGTTTTACGCCATATCACCCTCAATGGGTTATTTAATGCCGAGAAAAATTTTATTGCTGGTATTGTTTTTCAAAAATGTATTGCTGGTAACATTTTTACCTTCAAAAATCTGTTTCTGGTAATATTTTTTTCTACAAAAAATCTATTTCGGGTAATATTTTTCTTCAAAAATTAATCGCTGGCAAAATGTTTTGCAAGAATTTAAAGTTGGTAATATTTTTTTTATAAATGTATAGATGGCAATATTTTTTTAAAAAATGAAAAAATGTATTGCTGGTAACACTTTCGTTTTTCAAAAATGAATTGATGATAATAATATATTGCAGGTAATAATTTTTTCCTTCAAAAATTTTTACTGGTAATAATTTTTTTACAAAGTATTTCTGGTATTAAAACCCATTTTTACACTTTCATAGCGTTCCGACCGCATTTTTTTGGCCAACCACTTGCCCATAGCTGGGATCCCCACAGGTGCTACCACCCCAGGTTGGGTGGACTCTGGAACACCAGCAACCAAGAGGCGGCTCCACGCTTCTCAAAATCTCTTGATCAGAGGCCACGCTGTTGGACGTAGTTTATCATCTTAAACAGAGTCGGATGTAGTTTATCGTCATACCCAGGACGAGGAGAAGAAGGGTTCACGCCATTTATTAAGGACATTAGCACCAAGTGAATGAAATAGGCAGGATCAGAATTTGAACACGGTACGTCGAGTTTCCTTTCGTGTCGATAATCGTTACAGCAGCTGAACCTTGAAATGAATATCCTGCTTAAAACGAGGTTCATTATACTCCCGTTTAACAATTTCGCTTCTCAATTGAAAGCCAAAGAGAACAACGAAAATTTATTGAACTAACAAGGATTATCAAAGCTTTAAAAATACCTTATTTGTTTCATTTCAATCAGATCGAAACTAAAAAAAAATATATATATATATATATATAATAGAAGTCGAATGTCAATAAAATCCCATCTGCCTTTCGAAGAGATCGAAACTGATTGATAATTTCTCGCCGTAATCTGATTCATTTGGCCTCGTAATCTGATTTTCAAACGGCGGCGGTTTTAAACGCTTCCCTTGAAAAGGATTACGACGTGGTTTTGTCTAGAATTAACCTGCGCGTTGTTAACGGAAAATAACGAATGCGTATTTGCCGCTTTTACGAAATGCCTTTAAATAACAAAACATGATCGAATTAGCGGGTAATCGCTTCTCAAATGATTCCCTTCCCTTCGAAGAAATTCAAGGGCGTCTTTCATTTTCATTGGGCTTACTTGATCATCATTTCGCATGGGAGAACTGTGTGCTTAAAAATATAATCCTCATGTCTGTCTATCTATCTATCTATCTATCTATCTATCTATCTATCTAACTATCTATCTATCTATTACCTTCTGTTCATGACTTCAAATCGTTCTTTCTTTCTTTCTTTCTTTTTCAATCTATCCATATCTTTCTTTCGAATGATTGAGCGTTCTCATTTTTATATCCTATCATATCTATCTATCTATCTATCTATCTATCTATCTATCTATCTATCTATTACCTTCTGTTCATGACTTCAAATCGTTCTTTCTTTCTTTCTTTTTCAATCTATCCATATCTTTCTTTCGAATCATTGAGCGTTCTCATCTTTATATCCTATCATATCTATCTATCTATCTATCTATCTATCTATCTATCTATCTATCTATCTATCACCTTCTGTTCATGAATTCAATTCGTTCTTCTTTTCTTTCTTTTTCAGTCTATCCATATTTTTCTTTCGAATGATTGAGCGTTCTCATTTTTATATCCTATCATATCTATCTATCTATCTATCTATCTATCTATCTATCTATCTATCTATCTATCGCATCGTCTCCATCTATCTATCTATCTATCTATCTATCTATCTATCTATCTATCTATCTATCTATCTATCTATCAGTCCTTCAATATTCTGTTCATAACTTCATTCTACGAAGCGTCAATGACTGTTTCAAGGCATTAAACAGTTGTCATTATCTTGGTAAATCCCCAAATATCACCTGATTTTGTTATTATCTCTTTCATCCGAACAAAACCCTTTGACCGGGGAAAAAACTTTCTCTAATGAAAACCAGATTCAAGATGTGGAAGGCTTTCTCACGTAAAAAACCTACGGAATTTTACACAAAACGTGTGGAAAAACTGCTTTAAAAGTGGTACCTAGTCATTGTAAATAATGAATGATATATAAAGGAATAAGTTGCAATTGTGCTTTTGTGTTTGCAGAATAAATCTGATGTACAAAAAAGGAAATTATTCATAACTAAAACTAATATTTTGCGAATTCTTAGATGGCGCATTCTCCTTATTTAATTTACAGGATAGAGCTTCAGTGTTAACCCTCTGTGACCAAATTGATAAGAGCGACGTCTATGTCAAATTTAGGGAGGCAGTTCTTGTTTCCTCTTCCCCAATACAATTAGATCCCACTCATTTATAGAGAGGCATACCCACACCAGTCTAGGCTTGCTGATAGGGTTTACCGTGTTATGTTGAAAACTTCACGCTCTACCGGATTTAAATTCAGAGTTTTCCTTCCCCGAGTTCAATTTCCACCTAAAGACAATTTAATATATAGGTATCATTAGAAGGAGCAAATTCAGAGCTTTCCTAACGGTGTTTGTGCGAAGGTAACGTAATATCCGAGGACGCAATTTGAACCCGGCACACCAATTACAATTTCCCCTGCGAGAACTTCTACGTTATGGGCACATTTTGTTTATTTCATCCACATTTTATGCTTTGTCGTGAACTATTTTCCATACTTAAAATTCACCCTGATTTTTTTTATTTCTTTATCACATCCCCCCATGCTAGACGGCCATGCTACTAAGATTTTCTTGATCTTGTTGAATTATCACCAACTCTGAGTAAGTGTTAGAAATACAATTAGACGAAAAGAAATATAATAGAAAAAAATGGCAGATTTAAAAACAAAAAAAAACACCATTTAATCTTTCCTTTCCCAGAAAATTCGTAAGTTTCCAAATCGGGGACGCTACTTATCGGGATGTGTATTATCAGAACGCCGTCCTGGGCATGACGGTAAACTAGATCCGTGTCCTGAGTAAGACAATAAACTACATCCAACGACAAGGCCTCTGATCAAAAGGTTTTGTGGAGCGTGGAATCACCTCTTAATATCTGGTGTTCCCAGGTTCATCCAGACCTGGTGTGGTATCATCTGTTACGGTCCCAGCGGTGGGCAAATAGTTAACCCCACTAATCTGGGGTCAAAACGTGAAAAAATAGGTTTTAATTCTAACAAAACATTTTGGTAAAAAAATTATTACCAGCAATACATTTTTGAAAAAAAAAAAAAATAACCTGCTATACATATTTGAAGAAAAAATATTACCAGAAATAGATTTTTTTGAAGGAAAAATATTACCAGAAATAGATTTTTTGAAGGAAAAATATTACCAGAAATAAATTCTTTTGAAGGAAAAAATATTACCAGAAATAAAGTTTTTGGAAGGAAAAATATGACTAGAAATAAATTTTTTTGAAGGAAAAATATTAGCAGAAATAGATTTCTTTGAAGGAAAAAATATTACCAGAAATAGATTTTTTTGAAGGAAAAAAATATTACCAGAAATAGATTTTTTGAAGGAAAAAATATTACCAGAAATAGATTTTTTTGAAGGAAAAAATATTACCAGAAATAGATTTTTCTGAAGGAAAAAATATTACCAGAAATTGATTTTTCTGAAGGAAAAAATATTACCAGAAATAGATTTTTCTGAAGGAAAAAATATTACCAGAAATAGATTTTTTTGAAGGAAAAAATATTACCAGAAATAGATTTTTTTGAAGGAAAAAATATTACCAGAAATAGATCTTTGAAAAAATATTATTACAATCAATAAAAATTTTATTGTCATTAAATGACCCATTAACATTGACATGCCGTAAAACAAAACAAACCAAATGAAACAGAATGATATTAACAGTGAGGTCTTGAAACATACAACTGGTATGAAACATACGTCCAATATGAAACATACGACTAGTATGAAATTGGTCAAGTAAAAATAGCGCGGTATTCTAAATTTTTAAAAGACACCCACCGACATGCAAGAAAGCACATAAGCGTGTCTTACTCTTATTGCCACTGCATCTCAAGATACATTAGCGTGAGAGGACGATGGCATGTGGGTGCAGTTTTAGTAAAGGAAAATTCTCGTGTGCAATAGGATTCAAATTCCCTTGTTGTCGAAGTACGATTCAGAATTGAAGAGCACTTTAATGTACTTCGCCAGAGGCATAAGTACGTGCACATGCATCTATGGAAGGTGTAAGGGTTTAATTTGAACGGTTGGGCGATAAAAGGAGGGGTATGGATTTTTATCGGTAGCGCGATTCATTTTTACAGAGAATGTCGGCTCAAGATTTTGGTTTGAGGAAGAGGGCACATCGCTATTTGCTTGATTATAATGTAAAGTTTCTGGATATAGAATTGCATTTATATTTGTACGTTTAAGAGTATTTTAAAATGTTTAAACGCACAGATATAGGAATGGTAAAATATTAAAAAAATCTTAGAGACGCGTTTAGTTCCAAGGAAATTCTTAAGTCTAAAAGGAGGCGACGGCTGTTGGGATCATTGATCCAATGCGAACAATTCTTTCCTTAGATGTATAATATGTGCGTCGCAAGAACTACATACACTTTTGAATTCTGAGGTTCCTTCTCCAAAGGTATAGTACCCAGTCTGTCATGTTAATTATCCATAGCTTGGGTGGGGGGAAGAGAAAGTTTAATACCTTTTCTTATTATTAGCATATAGGTGACTATAATGAACTCAATTAGTATACGAACTCAGCCCTGCGATACCGGAACTCATTACACTACCGTGTCTCCTTCAGACTAATAACGCTTTTATTCAAGGAATCAATTTTATATATAAAAGGAGATTGTGGAGAAAATACAACAAACACAGATTACACACTTACATCGAAATGTTAAATCTAGAGGAAGGCTCATTTTTAAATTTAACTTATTGAGTGAAACAAATTAGATTTTTAATATCACCTATTTAAGGGAGATAAGGAAATTGAATATAGGATGGAATGCACAAGCGTTACGTTTGTTGAACTCGACTATAGATTCTATAAAACCCAAGTAATAACCCAAGAATTCATCTCATGTTATTAAATAACCTCTTCAGATCCAACATTTAGTTGAAATCGTTCATAATAAATCACCATGTTTTCAGATCATTGATTGAAATCACTTCAAGCGAATTAACCCTGTAAATCTTAACGAAAATAATTCCATATCAGTTCGGAACCACAGAGCAACGGTCTTTATCAAATAACAAACAACACATCACTTGAAAACTTCCAAAATCAACAACTACAATGAATACTGGATATAACTAGAAGGAGAAGTAATGACACAATGAAGATGTTTACTTCTACACAAGATTAAACGATGGCTTGGCAAGGAAACCCCATCAATAATAGAAAGAGTAACAACAGTTATTTGCCTTGAGAAAACTATTTACCTGAAAAAAAGAAAGATTTTATAAATTCCAACCGGCAGAAACACTGACTTGTCGGTCAATGAATGCCGATTATTTCCTGTTTGGAAACGGCCATTCTCAACAATAAAAATAATGTTTCTGCAAATTAGCGATTTTTAGAATTAGTTACACTTGATTAGTTGGAATGACGGTCTGAAGAAGGTGGGTTGTAATTGGTAGATCATGGCAATTTCATTACAAGTTTGTTTTATGCCGTCGGAAAGGAAATGAAGAGTTGTAGTTTGGCCTCTTCTGCATCGCAGGTAAAATGATTGCGTCTTGTCTCAATCATCTGAGAGACGTGTCCAATTGACTGCGATATATATATATATATATATATATATATATATATATATATATAGATAGATAGATAGATAGATAGATGAAAAGAAGTGAAAAAATGTTTAAATATCGATCAAGAAATAATGTCTAAATTTTAGGGGATGAGCCGTGAAACGAACATTTCAGAACTGCTTTGGATAGATAGATAGATAGATAGATAGATAGATAGATAGATAGATAGATAGATAGATGGAAACAATGATAGATATATAGATAGACAGATTGAAAAAAAAGATTGCAACAAAGATAGATAGATAGATAGAAACAATGATAGATAGATGGAAACACATACACACATATATATATATATATATATATATATATATATATATATATAGAGAGAGAGAGAGAGAGAGAGAGAGATAGATAGCTAGATAGATAAAAGAAACAATCATAAATGGAGACAGAAATAATATATATATATATATATATATATATATATATATATATATATAGATATATAGATATAGATATAGATATAGATAGATAGATAGATAGGAACACAGAGAGCTATATAAAAAGGCAGAAACAATGTGATCTGTTTGAAAGTGTTATCATACAGTTGTTAGCATCTATAAATATTTGTATTGTCGGTTATATCTGCTGACAGATTTATTTAGTGATAAGAGAGTTCTTCGATTCCGTAATGAAAGCACTCTGTAAATACATTGCTGGAATATGATTATTATCTTTAGATTCCACTCATCCCAGAACTTTTATCACCTCTTAACCCTATCTCCGATTCTTGAAGCCACCATCGTTCTTTGCTTCTTCCTTCCGTGAAGCAATATCATCATTAGACTGTGCAGACAACAACTTGGGCTCCGCACACCAATGGCGGTGGCCACGTAGGCGGTCGTTGAAAGAACAGCGACAGTTCGTCGCAAATTTGGTCTTCTCCAAAGACGAGTGTCTTAGTGCTTCCACGTCAGGTTTTTCCCTTTTAACCGGCTTCTCTCGACGAGATTGAGATCCTTTCGCTAAGCTTGGTTTCTCATAGCACAAGACACGGGGTGACTCACCTATCCTCCAGGCGCTGTTTCACTCGGTAGC